CAGAATTATTTCTGGATCACCCTTGTCATCACTGACTCCATATGCATCTACGCATACAGGAGTGTGTGGGATGAGGTCAGCTTTGCAAGGTGCCTTCATCCCAGGGGACCATCCGCAGGGTGGTTTCTGTTTGTCAAGTACACGGAGGAAATACTGACCACGCTTTAAATACATATAATAGAAAGGATGGTGCTTAAAACAAACAGGATCTCTTTCTTTTGTTCTCACATAGCTTAGCTGAAAACATTTGTTCAATCTGAAAGGGAAGTGATTAAAAAGAGTAACCAAAGAATTTTGAAAACTCTCGCAGTACAGAGTAGTAGTATGCTTTTTCCTTTTAGTGAAAGGCTATATATATAAAACAGTGGAGAGAAAAGTCAATGCATGCGGCGACCTACCGTCAATGTCACTTAGTCATGCCCTGGAGTGCCTTATGCAGCAGTGCTAGTGGGAATCATGCAAACGGCCTCTGCACAGAGACTGACTGCAACAGGGTGGGAAATGGGAACGTTTACAGAGAAGTCTGGTGAACAACAAGTTCATGGAATTGTTGAAAGAACCCCTAACAATCTTGTAATAGATGAGCAGTCTTAAAACACCATTAGACAGCTAACGAATATTTTCTTATGTCATTATTATGAAACCCCTGAGTAAGCAATCGCAATTACAAAGGGACATCCAGAAGCAGAACATATTTCTAAATAAAGCATTCGATACACACTTCACAGGAACGCAGGTTTACTGTACACACGGAAGTTCGTGCACAGACTGTACCAGATCACAGAGCAGCTGAAGTCAGGCCCTCTAAGGCTGAACACATTAGCTCAGCTAATAGAACACTGGCTTAAAACATATTTTACTTATAAATCCTAAATCTAAAAATGTAAAAAAGGTTGATAGTTCACCTTAAAAAAAGAAATGAAACATGAGGGTGGGGAAACTGAAGAACTGTAAAACCTATGACTAAAATCAGAAGCAACTGATTTTAATCGATGATTTAGAAATGCACCATTATGTAACCAACTTCTTATAGGACATGGTAGTTTAGTAGGAAAAAAACACAGAAATAGTTTTCCTTCAGAAAGTTTCCAAAACGCCTCACATCTTATATTGCTCACGACCCTCTGACTCTTTGCACTGCCTTAAGTGATATTTCTTCATACATAGGATTTTCACAATCAGATTCAGTTTCCTTAGTAAGATACCTCTTACTTCAGCTCTTTGACTTCCTTCAAATTTAATAAAGAAAAGTGTACTTTATTGATTGGTCCATACCACAGTTTTCTTAATTAAAAACACTTTCCCGAAAATACAAAGCTGAAAGCATTAACTGTTTGGATATATACACACATGCAATTAATAATCAAAAGAGAAGACTGCAAACTTTTCCAGCAGCACTCATCTTACAATAGGTCACCTTTCCTAGATGCCACATACAAGGCAGTCACCTGCTTTACAGCCACAAATGGAAATAGCGGTTCTTTAAGAAGCTCTTGCAGCCTGGGAAGAGAACAGAATCCCCACTGACTGGGCACCTAGCCCTGGGCTAGGTCTGTGCCAGATGCCCCACATACATGCTAGAAGACGCTGCTGAGGAATGGGGCAGAACAGCTAAGAGGGGATGGACCTGGTGCTCTGATGGGGCACTGCTGGCAGAGGCAGTGAGGCTGAACTACGGAGTTCAGATAACCCTCAGCGTGGAACATGACATTAGGGGAAGCTGTATGTTCAGAATGACATATGAATAATGATGAGAAGGTGCCTCAAGCCACTACTTACACACCCTAATGAATACCGAGAGCCCCGCTTCCAGAACTCCCTGCAGACCTGGATGAAGAGCTGATGAGAAAATCATCTCTACCTCATAGTCACAAGTTGGTTTCACCCCCAAAAGGTATCCCTCCAACTTAACATTTTTCACCAGGATTAGCTACAAGGAATGAAATTTGCTTTCAAAGGACAAAACAATTGCCATCATTGAAAGGACTTTGTTCAGTTTGACAAATACACACTGATCCCTCCTAGGCGTGAAGCCTGGCTTCTCCCGTGGGGAGGAGGGCAGGCAGGGTGAAATGAGGTGCACAGAAGCGCCGTGTGAGGGGTCATCTGAATGTTACTTATCAGCTTCTACTACACCCAGAAGACACATGACCTTCTTCTCCAGGATCTCTTCAAAAGTTACTCTAGAAAAGGAATCCTAAAGATGTTCTGAGCAGTGAGAGCAAGGTGATTACTCTGTCAACAAACATCCTAGTGTTTTCTCACCTCCTCTCACTATCAGGGCGAAAGAAAGCTTAGATGCCCCAGGAATCTCAGAGGATATGGAGGGAAAGACTATGTTTTCTCTCTGTCACTTCTTAGATAGCAACTGCAAACTAGCACAAATCACGACTTTAACTAAAATGGAGAAGCAAATACTGCAGATCCAGGAGGATGCTCTGACTGTGCCAAGCTTCGGGTCAAGTTGAATTTATCATCTAGCATTAGGTTCAATTTCTAGTTATTTTTACTTAAGGACCCTCAGAGCTTTACACATCTTAGGCAAACTTAATACGCTCCAGTGAGGAAAATATCTATCAAAAGACATTACTCCCTTTCTGTAGGGTTGGAAAAAGGGTAAGTAGAAAATGTAACATTCAAATTACTCAAGTTATTCTGATCTGGGTTCCTGATGATCCCAGAAAGTATGAAACCCTTCCTACTGAGAGAACTGAGTCACACACACCAAGGCAGTACCTACAAACGTGAAACGGCCATGCCGAGCAGCTTTCTTTTTGTGTATATTCAGAGCCTCAGTGGCAGATCTGAGGTATTTTCAGTGTGCCCACCCCCCTCTCCAAGAGACCACACGAGTTCACCTGAGGTGACAAGGAGCCCCAGCAGTTGCTTAAACGGTCATGCCTCACAACACTCAGAATCTCCTGGTAGCATCCCCTCCCAACGGCACAACGCCTAAAGTGTCTTCATGCAAGCTATGAGCAAAGACTGGCTGCTTTTTCTTTTTTCCCCTTTAGGAGGCTATGTCAAGGGCAGGAAGTCTAAATTATCCCCTAGTCCTGCCATCACATTCACAGTAGCCAGAGAAGGAGATCCACACTAATGACTCGTGGGAGTGGGGTAAAATAACACGCACACCTTGGCAGCTGTCAACAGCAAATGCTAAAGTACAAAAGAATCAATGTCATTTTAGCACCCTTTTTCTCCCTAGCCTTAAAACATCTGACGTTGCTTTTCTAAGTTTAAGCATTTCCCAGAAGTCTTTATATGAGCAGAGTACCTGCTTCATTCATTTGAGCTAAACAGCGCCTATTTGTTTAAAGACAGACAGGAGACAAAATCAATACCCCCCCCCCCCCCCCCCACAGTAACCTCTCTGCCTAAGGAGAGAGTTCTCTTTGCCCAGGAACAGCATTCTCCAGGACTGCCCAGGTAGCACGCACCTGTGCCCCTCGAAGGAGCTCACCTTCTACCCTGGGGAGCTACCTCGTGCTGGAACTTCCCTTCCAGCTACTCCAAAGAAGTAGACTTGAACGGAGAAGGCACCCGTGGCTTCTGTCCCATGCACACTCTTGGCAGCGTGGCCTGCCGAGAGACTAGGGCCACAGTCCTGGCATCACACTTTTCAGGAGAATGCCTACACAAGGTTGTTTTATGAAACATTTAAACGTCACTTTTAAATCATGACGGAGTCCCAAAGCTTCTGAGATTGATAAGAGCTTCATTTAGTTTGCTCTGACTATTGGTGATTAAACCCAGATTGATCACAGAGCACATTCAGAACTGTGGTCGCTGTGTGCAACACCAAGGCCCACTGGCTGGGCGTCGACGCTGGTTCAATTAAGAAGCTGCTGGGTAAACTCACTCCACTTCTCACTTGCCCTTTATCTATTTTATTTCAATGATAGCCTCTTTCTCTTTGAAGAAATGGACACATCACTTAGCCCATGCAGAAGACTGGGAATTGTGAAAACTAGAATTTGATCTCATGGTTCTTTGACTCTGTGTGCACAAGAATCACTTGGAAAGTTTATTCAGATGCAGATTCCTGAGTCCTGCCCCCACAATTCTGGTTCTTCAGGTCAGGGTAAGGCCGGGGAATTTGCTTTCTGAACAAGCACTCCATATGATTTTGATGCACAGATGGTCCAGATCACACTTAGAAATCACCTGGTTCCTCTAGCGTCTGTGTGACTGTGAGTGAATCCTTCAATCTCTAAACCTTACTTTTGAAATTGAGTAAGAATCCATGAATGTCACGGTTTTGCTGTCACGTCCGATTGACATAATGCATGGGAAAGCATGCTGGGAAAGTGTGGGCACTAGAGAGGGGTCATCTTGGATGACCTGTCCCCCTCTCCCATACATCCTCCAGCTTGGGCTCAGGGCACACCGCTCATCTCTTCCTAGTGTCCCCACCTGTAAACAGGGATGGATCCCATGTTTATGGAGTCCACCTCCCACACTGACATGGTCACACCAGTGCCCCGAGCACCTTGCCACCAGGTTCTTCTCACTCGCAGAGCCACAGAGCAGAGGGTTCCCCAGGGAGGGTCTAGGAGAGCAAACTCTACGTGTCAACAGCTTCGACAAAGGGGCTTAGCTCCGTCCAAAGTTTTAGTCTAGTTCTAAGTTGCCTGGAACCCTGCCTGTGAGTTACAGCCCTTGATACAGAACTAGCTCATTTTCAGCTTTGGTTTGGGTGGCCCATTAAAACTAAAAGCCAAAAACAAAACAAAACACAAAACTAACAAATTCATTTGTCAAGTCTGCTCTTCTAACTTGCTGTTCAAGTCTACATAACAGGTATGATTTGGTTCCCAGAGGCCCTTTGAACTGAAATCTATAGCACCTTGATTTTTTAATACACAAAACACACATGCATTTAAAAAAATGATATATAAAAGCACTAGGCTCTGCCTCCTCCTCTCCATCCCCTCAAGTAAGGGGCTGGAGAGGGCTGAAGCTGCTGCTGCTGCTGGAAATTAAACAGGGCAACAAAACACTTTCGCGAACTTTATTCCCTGAAGTTAGGAGGTGGCCCTGTCCTGCAGACGTCATACCACCTCGTCAGACTCCAGTCCGTGGACCTCGTATAAAGTGTCCAGTATCGCCAGCTGCTTTTCCATGGCAGGAAGGTAAAGGCTGAGATCCCTCTGCATCCCAACACTGAAAGCTGCTTTCTGGTGGTCACCTTCCTTTATGGTTAACGCGGCCACAAAATCTTCATAGGATGGAGCTGCCCTCAGAGCTAACTGCAAAAGAATTGCCCGTGAGAATCTGCATCACGTTTCTCTCTCTTGCACACTTTACTCTAATGCAGGAGCGCATGCATGCACACACACTCACACATACAGAGCTGCAGAGAGCAGGAGTAAAAAAATAGGAATATGTCTTTCTGACTCGTGGACTCTAAAACTATGTTTCAAGCACCAAATCAAATAATTTTAAGGCTAGAAGAAGCAAGTATGTACTTGGCCCATCTTGAGGATGAACAACGCCATCAAGTCAGGGAATGCTGAGAGAGTCTGAGAAAAGCTCCTTTCTCATTCGCAGTGTGATCCAGACTATCCCCCTTGAATCCTCAGTGTCCACCTCTATGCATGTTGCTGCCACAGTCTTTGTTCCCATGTGGCCAGCCTTCCAGGGCACCTCAATCTCCCATTTGTGTCTCATCTCCATATATCTTTCTTTGCATGTCTCCTACTTCCCCTCACATGGATATTTCCTTTGTATTCTTGAATATTTTCTAAAAAGGAAGGGAGCTAACATTTGTTGTTTGCTTGTGCACTGATGCTTTGATGTATTTATCCCAGTTAATCTTTATAAGAACCTGTAGAATTTATATCCCTATTGTACAGATGAACATCACGTAGCTAATGAGTGCCAGGGTCAGGATCTGAACTCGGGGTCATCTCTGTGCTTTTCAACCACACCACGACATCACATGACTTCCCTGATGAAAGATTTCCTAGGCTCCTTATAGCTCCCCTCCCTTTACAGGCCAACTGTACCCTAAGCTTGCTAAAATCTGCTGCCTGGCATCCACTGGGCTGGCTCTCTTGGGATCTCTGGAGACTTTTTGGAACCTTGAATTATCATTCTACAGTTGCTTTCTTGAGTTTCCTTATGCTTTCAAAGTCTTGGAGAATCAACCCTCCCCCTCTAAGCAACTGGAGGGTGATTGGCATTATGATGTAGTGGTTCAAGCACAGGCTTGGGTGAAGGAGACCCTGACTCGAATTCCAAATCTTTCACATATTAGCTTGAGGAATTTAAGCAAGGTTCTTACCCTCCTAGAACCTCAGATTTCTTGTCTGTAGAAGAGGACTGATACCTCTTGCCTTATTTGAAGGATTAATGGGACACGTGTAGTGTGTTTAGGCCACTGCCTGGCACATAATAAATACTCGAATAACGGTAGGGGTACAAAGGAGAGAGCAGAGAATGAAAGGAAGACAATTATCCAAAAATATAAGTGAGAAAATCTCCCAGAACTGAGGGATATGAGTCTTCAGATTTAAACAGCTATCCATAATGCTCTGCATAATGAATGCTAACAACCAAAAGATGAACACCATAAAATTCTAGAATGTAGGGATAAAGATCCTAAAAGCATCCAAAAGAGGGTGAGCAACAGTTTATACACAATGGAATGGTATTAGATTTTACAGTAGTAACAGTGGAAGCTGGAGGACAATAGAGGAATGCCTTCAAAGTTCTGAGAGAAAATTATTATCAACCTAGAATTTTATACCAGCCAAAGCATCACTCTAGAAACAAAGGGCAGAATAAAGACATTTCAGACATGCAGGAACTCAAAATTTTAGCTCCCGTGTATCCTCTCTTGGGAAGCTACTGGAGGATGGACACCACCCAAAGGAGGGATGAGATCAAGAAATAGGAAGTCGGAGGACCTAGGAAATGAAATTAGGGTGAGGTGGATTCAATACAGGAAAATTCATGAAGAAAAGTCCCCGGGAAATAGCAGTACAACAGGCCTGAACAATTAATTCAGATTGGAATAAGCATTTAGAAAGTTCTAGAAGGGAAGTCTCTAAGAAAAAAAACGCAGATAATCTGATAGATTTGTGAGTTCAGAATGACCATGACTTGAGAAATCTAACGGTGCACGGAAAAATATAAAACTTGTATAAGAACAAAAAAATCATAGAATTTTGCCTTCTCATCATCAGGATAACTTGTGATATAATTATATTGGGAAGGTGGAGGCGGCGGAGGTGAAGCAGGGTTAGCGAGGCCTAAGAGCTAAATTCTAATCTATGACAGAAAGCCAACAGTAAGGACTAAAACGGCGAAGGCCACAAAGAACGGTAAACATTTTTAGAACTGCAGAGGTGTTGGAAGAGACAGCCACAGTGGAAAGTGGAGGCCTCTCTGCAGTGAGCCAGGGAAGCAGGAGCAGAAGGCAGGGACTGCTAGTTTTTGTTACAATCTTTTTGGACTTTTTGATAAAAAACAAAACCGAACCCTATGTACAAAAGTTTAAGCAAAATTTTTTTAAAATGTTTCTCCAGAGTGGGGCCCAGGACTATTCCTTGAAGGCTCCTAGAGGGCTGTGGTGGAGCCAAGTCTATCTGGGAACCAACCATAGAACTCAATTGAAGAGGAAACCAGAAAGGTCAGATGATGGACGGTTAGTAACCACACTGGAGACAGAGCCTGGACTGGGCGTCAGTTCCATGGCCTACAACTGTGTGAAGATAAAGGTTCACTATTTGGTTGGTAAATGAGTCAAATCCCTTCAGCGTAAAAGACGTTTCCCTGAGCAACTGAGATCAGTTACATGAATTTGCCCCTGATAAATAATAAGCATGTTAGGAAACTCAATGAAGTTTCCAAAGGAGGGAGGACTTGAAGAACAATGGTAGAGAGGCTGAAAGGGCCTGTCGAGCTCCTCTATTGATAAGGCTGTTGCCAAATGCTTGACAAAATCTATTTCCTTAAAAACCAGCAACTTTAAAAATTATTGGCAATAATATCAAGGACCTTCAAAATGTTCTTACTGTATAACTTCGGGTGTATTACCTCGCCTCTTCATTCTCAGGTTTCCTTGTTTATAAGCAGGGAAAATAAGAGAGCCTACCTCACAGTTATGAGATTAATAATTATATATGTAAAGCACTTAAAATAATGTCTAGTGCATGGTCAGTGCTCAAAATTCTAAGTTGTGGTGGTAGTTCTTGGTATTAGACATACCAATTCTACTTCTAGGAACCTATTTTGAGGAAATAAGAGTTTTAGTCAAAAACGGATATTAATAGATGCTGTTTCATTTGGAAAAACAAACTTAGAAGCAGCTTAAATCTCCAATACTGTGGATTGAGCAAATAAATACAGTAGTTCCATACTAGGGAAATATTACGCAGTCACTAAAAATAATGATTTTCAAAGATTCTTATGGGTATTTAAAAACGGTCATGATATAATCTATTAAGTATGGGGAAAGAATACAAAATTATACTGTAAGCTAAATGTCAAATAAATTTATATGCATATACAGAGTAAGTATACAAAATAATTATACACATATAAGCATGCAGATATAAAAATATAAGTAGATATATATCTAGATAAAAATATAAAATTAGAACAATATTTAAAAGAATATGTAAAAATATATAAAAATAAAAGCTAAGAAGGTAAAACACAAAAATGTTTAAAATGGTTATTATGGAGTGGTGAGAATATGGACAATTTTAATTTTTTCCCTTTCTATTCTTCCATGATTTCTAAAAATTTTTGCCAGTTTAAATTACTATATATTTGGAAAAATGCTGTAAGTGAAAAAGTCCTTTTAAAGACTCATGCTTATGATAAATTTTCTGCTGTAGATGCATTCTTGTTGGCAACATCTCTTGGATCATTAATATTTCAGGATTAAACTTTGCCTTCTATACTGAAAAAAAGCACACCCACATTTTTGTTTCTTGTAAAAGGGGCAACACAATGTTTTTATGCTTTGTCATCTCACCAAGAGAACATGGGTGTCAGGCACCTGCAAGCAAACACAGTATTTACTCAGGAAGATCAATGAATGAAGCAGCTTCCATTGTCTAACTACTCATTAGCAGCTTCTCAATTATTCTGTCTTCAGTGCAGAGAACTGCGATGTGGGGGATGAGCACTAGCCTCAGAGACAGTAGATCTGGGTTTAGAGCTGGCCTCTGCCACAGCCTCACATGGAGACTCTGGGACTAAAATGAACAGTTCTGAACTTGTGAAATAGTGGGAGTTAATCCTGAGGATTATCAAAGATAATGAACATGGAAGTGCCTGGCACAGTGCCTAGTGGCACAATAGGCGTCCAATAGCCACATGGTAGCTATTATGATTATTGCATGTTTATGCACTGAAGGTAAGCGTGGGCACTTTGTAGCATAACTGGTCTGGCTCCTATTCTAGTGAACAGTAGGATATGGAGCTAGTTATCTCCATGCTTTCAAAAAAGATTTCATTTTCACTTAAATTTGATTTCTTATACTATAAATTCTTCCGACTTTCTTTACCTGGCTCCTAATAAATCGCGACCTAAACAGTTCTTACCTTAGGCAAATGATGTCTCCTATGCTTTAAATTTGTAAAAGCCATCATCTGCAAGACTATTTTTATCTCCTGACCTTCCAAAGAACACTCACATTCTATGCGTTTCCTAGTGTTCTACTGTACACGAGACTCTGCCTTACGGCTGCATCTGACTCAGGCTGACCTCTCCCCGGATGGGAGAATCGCTGAGTATCAGCACTGACATGAACGGGCCGTCTATTCCTGCTATTTTACTAAGCAGGCTAACTGACTTGTCCAGGGGACTAGGACTCCCATGTGTGTGTTCTTCCTAGGTCAACACGCTGGGAGGGAAGAAGCGGTGGTTAACAGGAGCCAAAAACACATGAATACAAACACCTCCACAATGAAAATAACTGGGTAAGAAGAGATTTCTAGCCCTAGCTGCTGGCACACTCCATTCAGTTAACATTCAAAGATAAAATTTAACTAAGTAAAAAAATTTTTTAAAAATCGACTAAAATCCGAGAACTAACAGGATTGAATACAGCAGGCAGCAGAGGGAGCTACGAGCTTGAAGGCAGCACTGATTTCCCACAACGGTGAGAATTTGCCAGCTTCCTGCCTACCTCTGCACTGATGCTCTTTACCACCTTATCAGAAAGGCAACTACTTCTGAGGCAAAGCTCCACGAGGTCACTAGGACTGGACAGGATAAAGCACACCATCAGTCTTCCCTACTCTACACACTTCCGATAGCCAGCATTTCCACACACAGACCTACAGACTTAAACGAAATAAGCAACATTTTACTCTTATTCTCAAAAACGAAGCAAACAGAAACAGCACACACACAAATCAAAACACCTTGCTGTGACCATCAGAACATTAGGAGGCAGAAGGACTACTTACCGCAAAAACCCCTCGAACTACCCAGCCGTGGTGCTGCCGTAATGTTTTACCATACGCGTTATCTTGAAAAGAAGAAAAACTCCATGAAGAACAATTTCATCAGAACTTGATGTGCTATTTGTATCACGTGCTTTCTAAAATACGCAGTAGCATGGTCCTATGTTATTGGACACCGACTAAAAAAGCCTAATGACAAGATTATGTACTCCGAAAGTCTTGAGTAGGGAAAAACCTATGCAAAAAAAAAAATTTTTTTAAAGAAAAATAGATATTTCCACTCTTACTCTGTGTCAATATATATAACTTCAGCTTATTATCATGGTGGGAAACATTCAATATATATAAGGAAATAAAGAGGGAAGAAAGGATATTGGAAAATTGAGACTGAATACAATTACAAAGACACTGCAAAAATATAAAAATGCAGTTCTTTGAAATGTTGGGTGACCCTGAGCCAGTCCCTCAGATGCCCTCTCTTACCATCTGTTTGTCTCTTTGTAAAATGATCTCTAAGGCTCTTTTCAACTATTCTGGGATGTCAAATGTTTGTCCTAGATGTCTCTATGACCCCAGATGTACAGTATTAAATCTAGAAACCTTTAAAACTATTATGAAAAGAATGGCTTGAAGTTATTAAGTTGGTTATAAAGTAATTGGTGCAGCCTATTAATAAACGTCATTCATATTCTAGACTTTAAAGATAAAAACCTATTATTCTTGTCTCAATGTGTTTTAAAATGAGATTTAAAAACTGGTATATAATAATTTTAATTACCAAAAAAGCCCCTCAAGAACAAGATGACTGCATCTTATGCAAGGGATGTGTTCCTGAAGGCTCTGAATAATTCAATATATGAAAAATTCAAAACTGATTTTTCTATAGGAATAAACGTATTCTCAGGAGGCAAAGATCTACATCACCACAGTGCATTTTTACTTCAATGCTCCATTTTATTTTCTAAGCATCATCTCCAATAGTTTACAGAGTGTTCATTCCTAAATTAACAGCACAGAGTATCATGGGGGTTGTTTGACCTTCTTCATCATGTTTTATCCCATCTAAATTCTATTCCAAACTTACTTATTTTCATGTGTCAGTTTCAGCACTAGTACACGTACCACCATTTAATCAATGCTTAGGTGACATTATAATAAGATATAAAAACATTTTAAATTATAACAAGAGCTGATGTTAAAATAACAGAAAAACAGACACCAAAACTCCAACCACCAATTCCTATGCAGTAAAAAGCAATGTGGTTCACAGAATACAGTGAAAGAAGGTGAAGTGTCTGCATTTTACTGACCAAAATGGGGCTGTCCTGTAATTGTAGTTAAACAGCTTACAACTTACTCAAATTTTGATATTATGTAATTCTTGTTAACTTCTATTTTTAAAATTTGGGTGAGACTTTATTAATACTTTTAGCATATCCTACTATTGATTTCACATAATTTGAATTTGCATAAAATACAATTATATTTTACATAAAAGAAGACTGTACCTTTGAAATATAACAGCAGATTTCCCTGGCTATCTAAAGTTTTAGGAACAGGTTGAAATGCCAGCACTTAGGATGGCAAAGCTAAAGCAGAAATTATAAAAAATTAATAAATTCAAGTACGGAAAAGAACCTTAGAAACAGTCTAAAGAAGGACTCAAGGTTAAATTTAATTATTTTCTTAGGAGAACAGTCTGAATAGACTAGGGCAAGGTTCCAAGATACAAGTCTTCAACATGAGCCACTCTTAAAACCTACCTGATTCTCTAAGGGGACAGATCAGGGACATTTTAGATCGTATACAAGCTCTTAGTGAAGAAAAGGTGGCTGGCCCACAAAGTGTATAGTGCAGATGGGCAGAAAATAACTAGGCACAGCCTCTGAAGTAAATCAACAACACAATCAACTTTCCAACCACCCAAGGAGCCATCTGGGCTGGCAAGACAGTGTGCAGGTCCATGGAAAACATCCTGAGGTGAGGCACAGAGGTAAGATAGCGGGAATCCCTTCTTTCTTGTGATCCTAATCCAGGCAAGGTATTAAATGCCATTATAATAAACAGGTGAAATTCAATGCCATTCAAATCTGCTGGATTTTACATCCATGATGGAACAGCTGCTCCATTCAACAAGAATTTAGTGGGAGTCTACCACATGCCCCACACTGTGCCAGCAGCAGAGATCCTCGGGGGACTGAAACTCAGTCAGTCCCCTGCCCTCAGGAAGTCCAGGGGCTCCTAAGAGAGCTAGCCCTTTAACATCATTATCATACAAACTGCCAACTGCTATAGTAGAGATCTGTACACGGTGCTACGGGAACATAGAGGACAGGAAGACAATTCCAGCCAGGGGGTGTGTGGACAGAGAACGCTCCAGAGGGGTCTCAAATGCTGGGTAGGGCAGAGAGAAGGGTGCAGACAGAGGGAGCAGACGGAGCTGTGAGAGACGGCGGCATGCCGGGCACGGAGTGGGGCGCAGTTCACTGGGGCTGAAGATCACTGGGGCTGAGGCCAAATTGTGAGGACCTTATATGCCACGTCAGGGATTCTGAACTTCCCACTTGAGGCACAGTGGCAGTTTAAAAAATATAACACTGCTTTTTTCTGATTTCACAAGTATTCAATACTCACTATTAAAAATATGGAAAATACAAAAATGAGAGAACTAAAGAAACCTATAATCATGCTCCCAGCGATAAGCACAGTGGGCATTGTAGAGGTATATTCTTAGTCCTTTTCTCTATACAGATAGTATTATTTTCTTCTACTTACAGCCATGATCATTCTGACTTGGAATTGCGGTAGGGAAGTAACAAGGTGAGATTCACTTTTCTTTACAGTATGCAGCAACGTAGCCGTGCTGGTCTCTGAGCCTTCAGCTCCGAAGCCCACCTGGCTGGACAAACTGCCTGTGTACAAGGGCTCTGGACCTGGGGCTATGCCAACCTCACGGACTTGACACCTTTCCTATACTTTGCCATTAAAGTCAACCATTCAGAAAAGCCCAGAAACGCTTCTCCATGGCCCCTTCAACAGGACAGCAAGAAAACAGAGGTGCTGTGAGTCCAAATAACACTGGCAGCTGGTCTAAGGAAGAGGGAGTGTCTGCAGAGCAGCACGCCGGTCTATGTCCTCCCACCCGGCCCTTCTAGAGGAGCAGCTGTTCCTTGCTGTGCCTGCACTTGCCAGAGAAGAGTCCCACAGGGCAGATGTGGGCCAGACGGTCTAATGGGAGAAGAGGCAGTCAGAGAATTTGGGCTGGGTCCTGACTCAGGCCCAGGAAGACCACTGCTGCAATTTAAAACCAACAAATGAAACAAAACTCATCAAAAAAAAAAAAAAAAGACTTGGTGAAAGTCCTTAACTGACTTCTAGGGCTGCAAATCTCCCTGCCACGTGAGGCTGCATTAAAATAAGATGAAGTCTAAGCCTGACCTATTTTGGTTACCCAGAGAAGATTAGATAATGAAATACATTAATCTTCACTGTAATACCCATTCATTATCATAATGCATGTTCTATAATCTGGAGGTATTTTTGGCCTCTGAAAGACATAAATGATACCCTTCTCCCAGCTCTTTGAGATGTGTCAGTTCCTGAGAGACTGAGTCCAAATACCTGAGTAGGAAGCCTTGATAATCACCTTGCTCAATTTTCTTCCTTTTACAAATGGAGAAACAGAAGACAGAGAGAGACAGTGACTTGCTCAAGGTCACAAAGCTAAAAGCAATGAGAACCTGAGGCACTCTTGTTGAATTAAACCATTCTGCTGAAAGACTAATGTTCATACTTTGTGAAACAAAATAATGAAAATGAAAAATGTGCCTTTTCTAGTCATTTCCTGAAAGAATTAGAACCTAATTCTGTTCATGGAAACAACAAAAACAGAACTGATTTCGTTACTGGTAACTCAGAAACTTGCTACGAGGTATTTAGAAATTATGCCTAAACCTGTTATAATATCTGATCAAGAACAACCTTTCCATTACTGTTGGTGGACAACTATTCTGTCCCAGAACTGAATACAGGAGAGTGTTTCTGTACTGTAAACCTATAATTGTAAGACTTTGTAAAGTTACTGCAGGTTGTAGAGAGGACAAAGAAGGCATGTAGATTTCAGTTTTAAGAGAGAGCTTGAGAAGTGAATAAGCAAAGCCAGGAGAGGTGGAATCACTCGTTCACTGAGCTCTGGAAATGAGCTAAACCAGGCAGTCTTAGGCAAGAATCAGGAACTGGGAGTGGTTTGAAAGTGAACAAGCAGTGAACAAATCTGAAAAATAATACTGAGTGAAAAAGGAAGAATGTGTATCATGTGACACCAGGTATATGAGTTTAAAATATGCAATACAATATTAGATACTGTTTATGGACACATATATAGTAAAAGTATAAAAACACTTATTATATAAACAGCGAATTCAGGATGAAGATCCTTGGAAAATGAGAGGAGTAATGGGGTCATGAGCCAGCCCTGGTGGTCTAGTGGTTAAGATCTGGTGCTCTTACCACTGCGGCCCGGTTTGTTTCCTGGTCAGGGAAACTCGCCACCCGTCTGTTGGTTGTCATACTGTGGCAGCTGAGTGTTGCTATGACACTGAAAGCTATGCCACCAGTATTTCAAATACTAGCAGGGTCACCCACGGTGGACAGGTTTCAGTGGAGTTTCCAGACTAAGACAGACTAGGAAGAAAGACCCAGTCACCCACTTTCAAAAAATTGGCCACGAAAACCCTATGAATAGCAGTGGAGCATTGTCTGATATAGCACCAGAAGGTGACAGAAGGGTACAAAAAAGAGCAGGCAGGGTTCTGCTCTGCTGTACACAGGGTCACTAGGAGTCGGACTCAACTTGACAGCACTAACAACAAAACAACAGTGGGGTCAAGGAGTGGTACATGTGTACTATATTGAGCTATTTTATATATTTGGTCAAGTGATGGATATTTGTTAAATGTTTGAAATATTTATAATAAAAAAAACTGAGCTACTAGGAAAGTATCCTCTGAATTCTTTACTGTGACTAAGCTTCAGGCAAAATGAACTGTATGGAGAAAAGCCAACTCAGTAACCAGTGGACAGAGGCAAAACACGTACCCAGAGATATCCTTTGTTAACTTCAGGCACTATCAAGATGAACACTTGTACTGTAAGCCAATTCTGCCATTAGAGGCACATGCTGTGAGTAGTTTTGGAGAGGGCATGACTTGATTCATGTTCCATAGTATTTTCAGAATAATCAGTCAAGTTCTGATTTCGTGCTAAATATCTGATTATGAGTTCGACTTTTTCATCTAGCCTTCCTTGTCTGCGAAAGCCTGTCATATTAAACACATAACTAAAAAGCATCCTTTTAGAATGTTTCCTATTTTGTGCTAGAGATCTTGGTTGGCCTAATGTTTATCTGACATTTATGGAATCATTCCAAGGCGAGGGACGTGGCAATACGCTAGCCCGCTGAGGCAACAGTGCAGAGCACATAACATTTAGTACAATGGTGCATGAAATGCCAGAGCAACTTTTCTTCCTTCCACTTAAAAGGATGCTTTCCAACAGCTCTTTTTGATGTGTTATCTCAAATGGAGGGGCTCAGCTATAGGGTGAACCATTAAACATATCTGTCTTGTGGACCCAACTCTTTCCTTACAATGACCTCTAGAGAACATCACAGCACACTAATGGTTCAGAGCAGTGCTTGGCATGAGACCATCCAAACTATTGCAGTCTGATCATCATTATGGAGAACCCAAGTATGGCTCTAATGTAAATGGGGGCAGTATAAAGCCTAATGCCTCCTTCCAGATGCTGGAAACTTATTCTGCATCACAGAACTCAGCAATACAAGGAATATACGTGCATTTTCCAGAGAGTTAACAGATGTCAAAGCTTCCATTGAGTCATTTAGGACTTTTATATATCATCTCTCATTTTCAACGCCACTAAGATTACCAAGTTTTACGAACACTTGCCTCAAAACCTTTCTTAAGCAGTGTTTTCAAATTTGGGAGTGCCATCCAAGGTTTATCCTTAATTTATCCTTCCTAACTGCCTTGCTGCTCCTAGGTTAGGAAAAATTTTCAGTTACTGGAGAACTAGCTAATTATCATGGAAATGAGGCAAAATTAACTGATGCTGTGGCTAACTAATTTTGGCACTTCTATTCCTGTTTATTTAACAATCATCAGACACAGTCAAAATTCCCAAATAATCAAAAGGTAGATCTAGCAACAGGTGAGTTTCAATATCGTTTGAGATGAGTGGGTCCCAAACTTTCGAAGGGATTAGAATCACCTGAAAGACTTTTTAACACACTGGTTGCTGGGCCCCACCTTGGAGTTTGAGTCAGCAAGCGTCTGGCAGGGCCTGGTGGTCTGCATTTCACATAAGCTGCCAGATGATAACGATGCTGCTCTCCTTGGACCACTTTGAGAAGCAGTGATCTAGATTTGAGACTCTAGAGGAGGTACTCGCCGTAGAAGAGGAGTATTTGGAAGATTAAATGAAATCTTTATTGAGAACCTAGTGTCATAGCTACATTAGGCGCTCTATAAATGGCAGCCTTTATTACAGTAGCTCAAATCTGATTTTAGGATTGAAAGCATGCAAGCTAATTTGCCTGTGTATAGCATATAAATTGCACACCCTCTCTTTTACCTACATACCCTAACTCCCTCATTTCAGACAAGGTATCGGTTCCAATTATAAAGGCTGTGATTTCAGAACGAGAAGAGAAAAGAGAACCCAGAAGAAATACACATCAAGGAGCCTATGGGTTCTGAAGAGTTAACGTGTGAACATTTCTCATAAAACTATATTTGCAGAGAGCTTGTGTGTCTGTCTGGAGAGGAGGGTCGGTTGGTTAGGGGAATTTTACCTCCCCACATTGAACAGCAGCAGGAAACTAGGGATCCCCACAAAGAAAAGATTTAAATCATGAATACCTATGAAATAATCCCAAACATCAGGGTGAAAATCTCAAATTTACAGCCCCCTTTTCCTTTCCACTGAAAATAGTGCTGAAGGGGAAGAGAGGGAAGGGAAAGCTGGGATTGGCTGTCATTATTCAGTTTTGGAGCAGCATTTGCCCTTCAAGTCTCCTCTTGTTTCACAAAGTCAACATCTCCAGCCCGGTGGTGTCCAAATCAAGTAAAAGGTAGGGGAGAAAGACGGGCAGAACTGGGGGTGGGGAAGGGCAGAAAGGGTATATCCTCGACTTCCTCCCCACCTGCAATGCACAAGGCTTTTCTTTTCACTTGCTAGTGTCCTGTAAGCAGCTAGGTTCTATTCCGTCCCAGCTGCAGCTCCAGCAGAGGGGTAAATGGGATTAGCATTCCCCTCCCACTCTCACACAGCCAGCTCTAACAAAGCATCAGCACAGGCGACACACAGTGCTGAATCCCCTGTCCTCCGCAGTTCCTGCAGCTGGAGGAGCTTCTTCCCAGTGTGAAATTTCCATACTAAGAAGTTAGTCTGGAGAGAAATTTCTGGCTTGGCACCTGAGCTTTGTAAACTTTCCATTTCTGATTTGTGAAAAATAAGCCCCATTTTGCTGGCAGGTTATCAACTTCATATATCATGATGATACAAATAGAAGCTAACAATAGAAGCTAACCTCTATTAAGTCCTTATTATGCAGCACTTTTCTAATCTCTTCAACTGCATGAACCTAATTATAAGAATCTTATTAAGCGAATCATATCATCAGTCCCATTTTATAGATGAGGAAACTGAGGCACAGAAAGGTTAAGTAAATTTCCTAAGGGCACAATGCTATTAAGCGATGGAACCCAGAGTACCCATGATCTTAATCACTCCACAAGTTATAAAGTTTGACAGATAGCCGTTAGGGGGCATGAATAGTTATGGTGAATATACTTTTAGTACTGAAATCAGGACACACAGGGGAGAATATAACTGAAACTGTCCTGGAAATTCAGGGACGTACGAGAAACTCAAAAACATAGGTATTCCAGGGATTGTGGAGAAGACCTTTTGTGGGAGAAATGAGGGTCCTGGAGGTAGGGGCCCCAATGTGACCCTGCTTCAGACCCTTTGTGATCTTAGCACGTATTTTAATCTTGCAGAATTTTGGTTACCTAATCTGTAAAAACAGATTAATGTCAAGATTAAGTTGTCTACATTCTTCATAAAGTGTTACAGAAATATCAGCTTATACTGTTTCATGGCACATCAGCAAGATTCTAGACAGAAAGGCCTGGGAAAATGATGTGGGGGCAGAATCCCTCCGGACTCATGGCCCAGAGGGAGGACTAACAGAAGTCACCCCTGACAACGAAAAAATGCTCCAGTCAACACTGGCTCCCCCCGCAAGAGAAGCATCTAATTTATTCATTTCACTGTTTATAATAGTGGCTACTCAGAGCTGGACCAAGTGCTTCTCTATATCATAACAATATACAGGGCTTTAAAGTAAGAGGAATTTCATTCTCTACCCCTCCAGGCTCCCCCATGCCTCAAGGCCCATGCTGGAAGAATTTCCTGCAGGTCAAGAGTGAGAGTTCAGCCACTCTGTTAGGAGCACTATGAGGATGCTTCCAAGTTTTTAATGTTTTCCAAAACTGGTCTGATAGATGCATCAATCCATCCCTCTATCCACTCATCCAGCCAAAGTTTACTAAGCATCTGCAAAGTTCCAGTCACTGCATTAGGATGCTGGAGATACAGGATGATCTTCTCAGACCAAGGCCTTCATCCCGGTCTCAGCTCTGCCACTACAAAAACGGGGCACATAGGGCATTTGAGGTGTACAAGATGATGATCAACCTTCATGTCACTCCAGAGCAAATTCCCAGGGTTCCTCGCCCCCTTACTTTTACAGTCTCCAAAACTAGCTTCTCTCTGGGTACTGACTTTAGAGGACTGCACTCTATTTGAAGATTAATTTAGGAAGAACTAACTTCGTGAAAACATTTTGTTTTCCTATTCAGATTATGAGACGGCTCTCCATTAATTTAGCTTTTCTTTAAGATATACTGATATTTAATAAGTTAGATCTAGATTACCAAGTCACTACCTCTATGAAAGCATATAAGAAACAAATAGTTAATAATAATGAAACAGAAAGGAAACAAAATCAAATCCTGAGAAGCAGAAATTTCCCCTACACCCTGTCTCCTCCTCCAGGGGTCTCCGTTCCACATCCTATTCAACAGACCAATCAAAATGTAAAGAACACTTACTCAAGGCTGTCTGGATGTCCTTTTCTCCATTTTTGACTTCTGTCAAAAATCCCTTCAAAAATTTGAGACCTCTAAAACAAAAAAGAGGAAGAAATATTATTTTCAAATTGCACTTATGTTGAATGGGCATAAAGAAATGGCAGACAACAGCTTCTTTTTCAATAATATCTTGGGAACAGCAGTAAACAGGTCAAGTCATATGGCAGTCCTTTCTGAGTTTCTTGCCTGTCATTTCCCTTTAGCTTGCTCTGGACCCTTCTCATCTGATATTCCTAAACAGTGGTTTTCCCAACATGATCCCAAGGCCAACAGCCTCAGCATCATCTGCGAAATTGATAGAAATGCAAATTCTGGGGCCCTACTCCAGACTTACTGAATAAGAAACTTTAGGTTTAGGGTGGAGCAACCATCTTGTTAACAAGCCTTCCAGCTAATTCTGACACCACTGAAGTTTGCAATCCACTGACTTAAAGAGAATCCAGTCAACTTTATCATCCTTTAAGATTCCTGTTTTATATATTGTATTAATGTAACAATATTTATCACCATCAAGAGTGAGGCAAAAAAAAAATTGTTGGTGTTCCATTCATCAGGCCTTCTAGAAAAGGCTAGCCATTGGGTTAGATCCTTCACTCAGAAGTAGTCTCCTTTGCCTAACAAGTTCTTTACTGGTAACATTTCAGCTGAGCTGGCTATTTTATTTTATTTATTTTTTTAGATTTTAAAATTTTTCCTTCTTCTCTCCAAAGCCCCCCAGTACATAGTTGTATGTTTGAGTTGTGGGTCCTTCTAGTTGTGGCACGTGGGATGCTGCCTCAGCATCGCTTGATGAGTGGTGCTAGGTCTGCACCCAGGATCTGAAATGGCGAAACCCTGGGCTGCTGAAGCACAGTGTGCGAACTTAACCACTGAGCCATGGGGCCGGCCCCTGAGCTGGGTTTTAACCGCTGCCCCAGCCCCACTGCCTCACCTCTTCAGCCACAAGAGGGCTTCTGTAGCCGAGTTCCTGACCTGGGCTACATCAGCCTCCACTTCGTGCAGCACTATCTTCTGGAGGGTGGTAAACTTTGCCTTGTTGGTTATGTACTTCTGATTTACTTTCTGCAGGAAAAGCAGGGGGACACACTAAGTTAAAAAGACTAAAGCTATCAAGCAAATTAGTACAGCATTGAGACTTGGAAGTGTGTCAGGCAGATCTCTAAAAAAATCAAAATAAATTAGGCCTCTATTACTTTCTCCCTTACCTTTTCAAGGTAATGTTTTTTCGTTTGAGAATTCTTATGAAGCTTAAGCTAGAATGAAATAGTCTCAGGGTTTTAAACTACTGTTTTTAAAGTATTTTTTTCTGCCTTAGCACCCTTCTCAGAGCTGGCCTATACTTTTCATCCTGAGTATAAAACTCAACAACCATTTGTTTCCAAATGAGATTTCAAGCAACCACTCCCTTCAAATATAGTCTCCACAGGGACGAGCTAGCATATTCACCTTAATATTTCCAACAAGATCCATTTTAACAGGAGCAAACACCGTAGGGCCAAGTTTGTCTAGAAGAAAAGATTGAAAACATCTTTGAAAAGGCAATTTTTCCAAGTAGAAAACATTTTTTATAATAACAATAAATTTAGCAGATTTCCCCCCCCCAAACTTTTATTTTTTACTTTGAAATCATTTTCTAAGCATAAGCTTCAAAGGTTTTTAGGATATTGTCATTACCTTTTTCTATTAACACTACTCTGAGGTGATTAACTATAATAAGGTCCTAAGTGCCAGGTGAGGATAATCTTACGAGTTTAGGATGCATACGGTAGTCCTTAGGGCTGCACTGTCCAATATGGCAGCCACTAGATATGCAGCTATTTAGCATTTGCAGGGTACCTATTCCAGACTGTGATGTACTGTAAGTGTAAAACACACACCACATTGCAAAGACTTAGTACCCCCCCAAAAAGCAAAATATCTCATTAATGATTCTTTTATATTTGATTACATGTCGAGATGATATTTTGCATATACTAGGTTAGCTAAAATACATTATTAAAATTAGTTTTACCTGTTTTGTTTTCCTATTTTAACGTGTCTAATAGAAAATTAAAAACTATATAATAATTATATTATTTTTATATATAGACTATATAAATAATATATATTATTTTTAAAAAATAACACAAAGGGGTATAGCCAAAAAGCCAAAGGAGAAGATATAAAGGAATTCTAAAAAATACTTGATTGATCCAAAAGAAAAGCAGGAACAAAGATAGGTAGTTAAAAGCAAAAAGGGAAAATAGAATACTAAGAAATAATTGATTAATTGGGTACAAATCCAGAAAGGAATAAAAAAGTAACAAAGAACAGATAAAACAAATAGAAAATAAATAGCAAGATGGTAGAAACAACATCTAAAAATAAAGAAGACGTAAGTAAATAGATACAGCACATTCAACGAATTAGAGGACTCAATGTTGTTCAAGATATCAATTTCCTCCTAATTGGCTTACAAATTCAATGTAATCTTAATCAAAATCCCAACAGACTTTTTAATGGAAACTGAAAACCTAAAATTTATACGGACACGTAAAGGACCTAAAATTGCCAAAACAATCTTGAAAAAGAAGAACAAAATTGGAAGACTTACACTATCTGATTTCAAGCCTTACTATAAAGGCACAGTAATTAAGACACTGTAGTACTGGCATAAGGAAAAACAAACATAACCAGAAGAGAAGAGAGAGTCCAGACACAGACCCACAGCTATCAGGTCAGCTGATTTTCAACAAAGCTGCCAAAGTAATGTAAAAGGGGAAAGAATGTTTTTTCACAAATGGTTCTTGAACAACCAGATATCATAAGAAAAGAAAAAAGAATCTCAACCCTTACCTCACACCACATACAAAAACTAATTCCAAGATGGATCGTAGAAGTAAAAATAAAATCAAGACTAAAGAGTATAGAAGACAACACAGGAGAGTATCTTCATGACCTTGGGGGTTAGCAAAGATTTCTTAGGACACTGAAAGCACTAACTACAAAAGAAAGAAAACAGACAAATTGGATTTCATAAAAATTAAAAACCCTGCACTTCAAAAGATATCATTAAGAAAAGAAATGTGCAACCTATAGTCTGGGGGAAAATATTCATAATGCATATGTTTGCAGTGGAATGTTATTCAGAACATATAAAGAACTCTTAAAATTCAACAAAAAGAAAATTAACCAACTTTTAAAAATGCACTAATGATCTGAACAGACTTCATAATGGAAGAGATAGCAACGGCCAATAATTATATGAAAAATTGCTCAACATCATTAGTCATCAGGGAAATGCATAAAGCGACAACAAGATGCCACTAAAAACTCACAGGAATGGCCAAAACCAAAAATACTGACACCACCAAGTGCTAGTGAAGATGTGAAGTATACTCATAGACAGAATACTCAAACACTGCTGTTGGAAGTGCACGACTGTGTAATCACTCTTTATGAAGTTAAACATACCAACCTTATGAAACAGCAAGACCACTCCTAGGAATTTACTCAAAAGAGTTGAAAACATATGCCCTCACACCCAAAAATGTTCAGAGCAATTTCATTCATAATAGCCCCCAAAAAGAAACTACCCAAATGTCCATCAATAGGAGAATGAATAAACAAATTGTGGTATATTCACTTAATAGAATACTATTCAGCAATAGAAAGGAACGAACTACTGGTACATGTAACAACAAGGATGACGACGTCATACTGAAAGAAGAAACCAGATGCAGAGGAGTACATAATATGATTCCATTTATATGAGCTTTTGGAACAGGCAAAACTAATCTATGGCAACAGAAATCAGCAAAATGGTTGCCTCGAGCTGGACGATAGGTTGGGGACTGAAGTGCACAGGGAACGTTCCGGGGTGATGAAGACATTCTACGTCTTGATAGAGATGTGGATTACAGAGGTAGGTGAATTTGTCAAAACTAACTGAATCATTACACTTAAATTCTACGCAAGTTATACCTCGATTTAAAAAAACGATGCACAGTTAAATCAGTCATATATAACAAATTTCAAAACATTAGTGATTCCTGGTACTACTGACTCTATAAAAAGTAAACGTAATTTGAACTTAAATTTATACATATTTTTTTATCTTTGAAAAAAAGTTTTAACTGGTAAAAATTTTTTTTCATAATACCAATGGATTTGAAGGTCTTTTCCTCAACTACTTTCACTTTTGCTTTAAGTATGATTGCTAGAAAAAAACAGAATTCCCTTTTTCATTACATTACTCTCAAGTCAATATTTGGTCATAATTAGAAATGAAATAGAAATATGCAATAATGCCTAAGGTCATACAGCTTTAACTATGTGGCTGGTGATATGAAGAGGTAGCTAAGAAAAAGGGTCACCTCACCATACACAGAGTTCAGAATATTTCTACTGCAAAACAACAGTGGCGAGAGAGTCTAGAGACTAACGAATTTAACGCAAATTCAGAAATCTTACCTAATACTGGAACCACAGCATAACATGATGCCAAGAATGCTTCTGTGGGAATGCCACTGTCTTCAAGAAGTTCAATGTCACTAAAGCTGGACAATTTGGAGATACAGAGGAGGAAAGATTGAAAATACAACATCAGCACTCTCTGCAGTTCAGGGGTAGTGAGGAAAACAGCTACCCCTTTGTAGGGCACATCATTTGGCCTGATTTCACAGATATGCCCCAGTGATTGTTTTTCTATTATAAGTCAGTCTAATAAAATCATTTTCCAAAGATAATCCACAATAGCAAGTTAAAATTTGTTCACGGAGTATACTCTCACAATCCAATTCCTTCTCATCCACTGCTTCAGACAAGGTAACAGTAATGCAGGTACTTGGGAGACCATATTCTCTATTCTGTTAGAAGACGTCATCACCTGAAAGGAACACCAGGACTGATTTTCTAGAAGGGAAGCTGGTGTCCAACTGTCAGTGATTTTAGAAAGTATAAAATACCTGGTGTTCATGGTACTAAAGAAAGTTGGGATAACTTCTTGGCCTTCTTCCCAGTGGGATTCTGGAGAGCTACTCAAGGAGTCTGATCCAGGCTGTGCCAAGCTGCTGTCATGATTTCCCAGGTTTCCCTCTCCATCTTCCTTCATTATTTCACCTTGGACTGCAAAGCAGAAGATACCTATTACTAACCTATTATTTATTTATTATAAAAATGAATATATATATTCATTGTCGAACATTTCTACAACACAGAAAAGTATACAGAAATAAAAGTCAGTGAAATACTATACACATACACACATATATATGTATACACACACAAACAAAATTGGGTTTAAATATATGCAGATCTGTATCCTATTTGTTGTCACTGAACAGTATATCACGAATATTTTATTATTCAATACTTTTCAAAACATGAGTTTAATGACCATGTAACATTTGCATCATGCTCACGTGGAGGGCATTTAAGTAGTTTCTAAAATGTTACTATTATAAATACAGTTGATCCTCATTATTAGTGTATTCTGTATTTGCAAATCTGCCTACTTGCTAAAGTTCATTGGTAATCCTAAAACAAATGCTTGTGGCACTTGCGCAGTCATTTGTGGACACGTGCAGTGGGGTGAAAAATTTGAGTCACCTGATGTTCCCAGCTGAGGCTGAACAAGGTGACACTCTGCCTTCTTGTTTCAGCTCTCATACTATACACAAGTGTGTTTATTCAGTGCCACCTTTTTTGCTCTTTTGTGCATTTTGTTGTTGATTTCACTGTTTCAAAGGGCCCCCAAGTGTAGCACTGTCTAGTGTTCTTAAGTGCGTGCAGACTGTGATGTGCCTCATGAGAAAAATACATGTGTCAGATAAGCTTTATTCAGGGGTGAGTTATAGTGCTGTTGGGGCATGGGTTCAACATTAATGAATCAACAATATATATTAAACAAGGCATCTTTAACACACACAAACACACATAACACAAGGTTGTGTATTAATCAGTCGATAAAAATGTTGTGACCAGAGGCTCGCAGAAACCTAATGCTGTGTTTCTCCTAGGAGCAACGGTTCAGCATTCGGTAATTCAGTGTCTGCAGTGACTCTACAGACCATAACGACCGTGAGGAATGAGAACCGACTGTAATGTCATAAAGAACACCCCTGTCCACACACAGCTGTCCTTAGATCTGACTATTATCTGAGAACAAATTGCTGGAAGTAGATTTGTTGGGTCAAATAAATAACAGTACTGTTTTGATAGAAAGTATCCGGTCTTGATTATTTACACCAGGGATAAGACTTCAGGGATGTGTGGATTGCTTGCCTCAGATTAACAGCTATGAAAATGTGTCTTCTTTTTTCCCCAACTCATCTGGAAAGACAAGGTCCCTTATTTCAAGGGAGATGAGGAGGAAATTTTTTTTTAAACTTTATTTTCGAAATATTTATTAAACACTTCTAACACAATTAAAAGTTCTAATACGGTTGTCTTGGACTGATCTGTAGTTGGTTTTAGTGGTCAGAGCCAACGGAATTAGCAAATTCAAAGGGGCAGCATTTTCACGCTCGGGCTGTTTTGTAAAATGTGGGACTCTGGCTTGCTGAGAAGGCTGGGTGAAAACCTGATGCTGGCTGGTGAACTCTGACACCCTCAGGCCTCACCAGAAACCAGGAAGATGGAAAACCGAACTGTCATAACGTTACACACTCTTAAGTCTGACATCATAGCCTAAGTTCAAAGGACTTTGGGATACAGAGTGGAAGGCCAGTGACATACTCACACTCTCTAAAAAGTCAGCACAGACAGCTAATGGTCCCTGCAGGCCCTGAACAACACAGCAAGAACAGTGGGCGGGGAAGTTCGTCTTCATTCTGCCTTTTCAACATGGGGTCGGATGGGATGACAAAAGGTCGTCGAGTGACCTGTGTTAGCGAGCTACCTAGTACACTGTCTCCAGGTCAACTCCTATCAAGTGTCGTATCATGGATAATGAATCAAACTCCCAAGGTCCTATTGTTCAATGGTTTGCTTCAGACTTTACTTTTGTTTTTACCTGTTATATTATCATCTGTATTTTCTTCACTTGATATGCTGCAATCTATCTCTGCAGGTTTCAAATGTAAGGAGGTCTTGTTTTTCCTTAGGATTTCTTCATCATCATTTATTTCCATATTTAAAGACCCATTTTCACAATTGTTTAACTCCATTTGCCTGAAAATTTTTAAAAAGGAAAAAAGCCAAAAAGTCCAATTATTATTCGGTCTTAAATAGATCGCCCAGGTAGATCGCATTCTGAGGGATGGGGGAAGGGTTTACAATCACCAACTCATTTTAATACTGATTAAAACACAGAATTGTTACACTAAGCCAATCTCTCACCCTCCTGCCTGCAAAGCAGGTATCTCCTGCGGTGGAAGTTGAGAGATCAAAGAGCCATTCGCGGCTCTTTGCGCACCACAGCTGGCTCAAACTTCCTGCTCCCCACCAGCAACGGGAAATAGTCATTGTCGGCTCTTTGGTTTCAATCAGCTTTCTACAGGTACCACATCTAACACTTTCTCACTTGCCTCAGCTTCTCCCTGGGAGGTTTTTTCTCTCTCCTCAGCTTTGAAGTCACTGGCCACTTCCATGTGTTTGTCTAGCAGTTAACAGTCTAGAAGCACATGCTGTGGTCAGAACACTCCCTGCAAAGTATGTCTGACGGAAAAAACTCGGGAGGACGCAATACAGCTTGAGGCTCTGTCTTCTTCAGGGTAAGAGAAAAGTCTACTTAATATGCAAGTGGAACAGCTGATTCTGTTAAAGGGACAATCATATCTCTTATTATAAGTGATGAGACCTAGCCAAATTAGAACAAAAATATTTTCTTCTATTAAAAATAAAGGGAAAGGGCCAAGCTACATAGTGACTCCAGTAAAAGTATTTATTTCCTAAAGAAATACCATACCTCAACTTAGCAATTAAAAATGTAGTATACTGAGGGGCTGGCCCCGTGGCTGAGTGGTTAAGTTCGCGTGCTCCACTGCAGGCGGCCCAGTGTTTCGTTAGTTCGAATCCTGGGCGCGGACATGGCACTGCTCGTCAGACCACGCTGAGGCAGCGTCCCACATGCCACAACTAGAAGAACCCACAACGAAGAATACACAACTATGTACCGGGGGGGCTTTGGGGAGAAAAAGGAAAAAATAAAATCTTAAAAAAAGAAAAAAAAAAATGTAGTATACTGAGGAAATACCTCAAAACAAAAAACATCTACAAAGATGTTCCTAGAATCCTAGAAATATTCTAGAAATATTAGAACAGGAGAAAATTGTTAACAGCAAAATTGGGAACAATCTTTGCACTAAAGAAGCAAACAACAGTATACACAGAAATGCAATATTAAATAATAATTTGAAAGGACCAATATATGGACTATGTCAAAATATGGGAATGCTTATATGAAATAATAACTGAATAAAGACCCCAAATAATAGGAATACAACTTTGTAAATGTGTACTTTTTTTTAATCAAAGGAGCATTTGGAGGAAGAAATAGTTGAGATTTTGATATTGTTCTTTTTTCAACCTGTAAAGCTACCTAAGATTTTTATTTTTAAGCAAAACAAGATAGCACTGTCTTTCTGGATGAAAGTACACTTAAATCAAGGCTCAGCTCCTCCATGGGAGAGGAGGTTCCAACCTTCGGTACAGCAGAGAGATTAAAGTGACTAGATGTGATGGGTGGGATCCACATCCCAGGGGAAAGGCAAACATCTTCCCTAGGAGGCAGTGCTGAAGGGATAGTCTGCATCACTTCAGGCTCAGCCAAAAGAGGAAAATCAGACACTGTTTCCTTCCAGTATCATCTCAAATCATGAGGAAAACCACTATACAATCAAAACATTCTCATTTTTTAAAAACAAGGGATAACAATATCCTTATTTTTTTATTTTTACGAAGAAGAAAAAAACAAAAGAAGTTACTGTACCTTTCCAATGAATTATGAATCGGTACAATAGGATGTTTCATCTTTAAAAGAAGCAAAGAAATGAAAGTTTACATGTTAAACTTCCAACGGAGTAGATTAGTTTTATCACATATGAAAGCGGTAAATACAGCCACAACATATACTGCCCCACTCAACAGGAACATCCTCCCAAAAGAAAAGCATCATTGATACCAACCAGTCCATCATATTTATTCAAATAAGGGTACCCAAATGTCTAAGGAAAAGGAAGATGACCTTTCGAAGGACCTAATTATTACAGCCAAACCCTCGGTGGCTAGCTTTCTTGTAATTTCAGTCATGCTCATTAAACACTAATAAATACCAGACTATGATGCAGCATTGTATCAAACACTGGAAGTATAAAGGTAAACAGTATGGGGCTCCTGCCCGTAAGGTAATTTCAATATAGAGTAAGACTGATATCGGGGTATGCATAAAGGAGGAGCTCTTAGCCCAATTTAGGAAATCAGGGAAAAAGAGATTAAATCTTGAAGGACAAATGAGAGCTAACCAGGGAAAGATAGGGAAGAAGGGCATTCTTGGCACTGGGGGGAGCTACAAAGATACCGGGGGAGCTACAAGCAGTTAATACGTTCAAACCAGGTAATGACAGAGAAAGAAGCTGGGATGTAGGAAGGGGCTAAGAAGTTTTGACTTTAACCTGTAGGCAACAAGGGAGCCACTGAAAAGTTTGGGTAAAGTGGTCCAATTTACACAGCACGAACAGAAATATCACCAGCTGCCTGGAGGGGTGAGGCTGAAGGAGACTAGTTGGAACGCCTACTACAAATCTCAGCAAGGCCTACCAGACAAGGGGGCTGGAAAGAAGAGACATCAGAGACGTGTTTAGGTGGTAAAACTGCCAAAAATAATTGACTGGATATGGTGGACTGAGGGCAGATATAAAAGCTGACATAAGGAAAGTCCACTAAAAATATGTCTTTATCAGTTGCCAAATGGGGATGGAGGACATAGCTCAGTACATCACTTCCTTAACTTTTCAGTTTTTCATTATGCCCTGAGGCAGCCAAGCTCAGCTAGATTGTTACCTTGTTGGACTTGAGCATGGCCAGCTGTGGTGATCCTGGGGGCGTGCGATAGAGAAGCTCAGAGGTGAAGGCTGCATTTGCGATCTGCATGCATTCTTCCAAAGTCTTCAGAAAAGTATTGCAGGTTGATTTCAGCAGAGTTCCCACATCAATTCCCTCCTACAAAACAACGAGAGTGGAAGACTCCTTTACCTTGCCAAAAAAGAAAAAGCCCAATTGTGGAATGTCCTTAAAGGTTTTTATCCACAACATACGTGCTCACCTATTCTGCTGGAAAAATATGTACATCAGTTATGGAAGAAAAAGACTGAGTGAGTCCAATCTATCCTTTAACCATACACAAGCCTTACCCTCAATCTGACACTTCACTCACCCACCACTCCAGCTGAAGGCACCAACTTCTTTCAACTCAACAATATTATATGCCAGCACTGTGGCAGAGCCCTCCTGGAGCTTCCAGTCTGTAAGGGGTGGCAGACATGAAATAGGGAATCACATGGACTGAAGACCAGTGGGATAAATGGAAAATTGCCTCCCATTGCCTGAGTAAAATAAGGTTCTATAACAGAAGCATTAGAAACCACAGATCACGCATTGTTTGCTTTCAGAATGGGTTTTTTGGCTTTCAGTACAGGTGAGTCTAAGAGGTGTCAGCAACTGGAATTCTTTTCAACAGCGAATCATTTTTTCCTCCAAGTTATTTTACGTGTTTTGGGTGTTGTTCCTCTGGATATTGATATTGATAAGTTGTTTAGGAAACTGAGGACACACCTTGACTAGAGGTAACGGTGACGGTAATGGTTGACTGTGACGGTAACCACGTCTCAGTGGTGTTAAAGTAACCAGATTTGGCCCAAGATGGAGTCACTCATGCTAAACCTCACGTCAGCAAATCAAAAACTTAACTAAGTTTTTATGTTCGGCTCTCCCAGAAAAGAAAGGCCTAGGTCAACCAACCAGCACTCGCCTGCTCAGCACGAGCACCTAACCTAGGTCCAAAACTGCCCTTTGCTCCACATACAGAAAGCAACCCTGCTTTAACCAGTTGGCAAAATGTTCAGGATAACTTCCTTGTTCCTGTTCACCTTGGTCTATAAAAATCTCCAGCCTTGTATAGCTCTTCAGAGCTCATTTCCATCTGCTAGATTGGATGTTGCTTGATTCATGAGTCACTGAATGAAGCCAATAAGATCTTTAAACCTTACTCAGTTGAATTTTGCTCTTTAATAGCGGCCTCTATATTTCCCTCAATTTTGTATTTCTAACAAGCTAGCAGGCGATGTTACTGGTTGTGGATCACTGTGATTCTGACACCAATTACAATGTATGTTTTTTTCCTACATCATCAAACAATTCTCCAACGCCAGCTGGGTGTCCTACAATTCAACTAAATCCTGACACCATCTACCTGGAGACGTTGTCAGATCTCACAGGTTACGAGCTCTGTTCTGCAACACTGTCCCCACCCCCCACTTCAGACACCAGTGCCAAGTCCAGGTTGTCACCTGTGCTTCTAACTGACCCACTGGAGACTGGAAATTTCAATGACCCCTCCTTGCGTTTGATTAATCTGCTAGAGGGCTCACAGAACTCAGAAAAACATTTTACTTACTAGATTACCAGTTTATTATAAAAGGACATAACTCAGGAACAGCCAGATAGAAGCAATGCATAGGGCAAGGCATGTGAGAAGGTGCTTGGAGAGTCCATGCTCCCTGAACACGCCACTTTCCCTGCATCTCCACCTGTTCACCAACTCAGGCGCTCTCAGAACCTCATGCTTCAGGTTATGGAAGCTTCAATCAATACACAGGCACGACTGATTAAATCACTGGCCACTGGTGACTGAACTCAATCTCCGGCCCCTCTCCTCTCCCAGGAGGTGGGGGGTGGGACTGAAAGCTCCAACCTCTAATCACATGGTAGGGTCTGCTGTCAACCCGAAGTCACCTCATCAACATAACAAAAGACACCTTCATCTCTCATCACAGGAAGTCCCAAGGGTTTTAGGAGCTCTATGCCAGGAACTGGGAAAAGACCAAATATATATTTCTTATAAATCACAATATCACAACCACAGTTTCAGTTCCCTAGGCACTTACTATAAGCACTTTCTTGAATTTTAAAAATTAAGAATTACAGCTACCCTTCCCTCTAGACCAGGGCTTCTCTACCCCAGCACTACTGACATTTGGGCTAGCTAACTTCTGGAGTGGGAAAGTACGTGGTGTGGCTCCCCCATCCATTGGAGGATGTTAAGCAGCATCCTGGCCTCTACTCCCTAGATGCCAAAAGCACTCCCTCAGCCATGACAACCAAAAATGTCTTCAGACACTGCCAGATGTCTCCTGAGGGCAAAACTGTTCTGGGTTGAGAAGCAGTGCTCTGCACAAAAAACATCCCAAGAGGAGAACTGAACTGTTTTTTGGTAACCTCCCCTTCCCCTCCCCTTCCCCCAGGCATTGTCTGTACACAATAGGCAGTTGCTGAAACAATAAGAGACCAAAAGGAACTGAATGAGAGTTAAATCACCTTCGCTAGAAAAACTCAAAGCACGCATACTATCAGTAGCTTAGTGTTCTTCTATTACCTAAGAAAAGTGACTTAAAACCATTAATTATAATCTTCAGATTCTTCACTTTATAGGCATTGTTTTTTAGGCTATAACTTCTTTGAGAGAAGAGCAGAGACCCTCTCTGGTTAATGTGAGCCATTCAATACATAGGTTAACACTAGATAGATCTGTTAATATATGTTTTAGGGTGAGTGAATGACAACTTTATTAATAAAGGTTAAAAAATCACAATCCCTGCTGATGATGGAGAGAAAAAAAGCTGTGTCTCCATCTTTGAAAGCACCATCTATGCGAAAGCACAACAATTACTATAGTGAAATAAAATCGTGTTACAGTCTCATCAAAAGTAACAGATATGCATCACTGATAGACACAATGTTGGCATCTGAGTAGCCACACCTATAGAAATGGCTCTGCTAGACAGGTAAGACTGCATTTTAAAAAGTAATGCAAACTGGGGAGAAACATATTTTAGTACATCAGTACTAAAGTTAAACGGTTCAAACGTTATCAATGAATTAATCTTGAATTCATTCCAGAAAGGAAAACTACAGTCATGCACCACATAAGGAAGCTTCAGTCAACAACAAACCACACATACAGCGGCGGTGCCCTAAGATTACTACCATACAGCCTACATGTGTAGCAGGCTAAACCATCTAGGTTTGTGCAAGTACACGCTATGATTTTCACATGATGACAAAATCACCTAATGATGCATTTCTCAGAATGTATCCCTGTGTTTAAGCAACACATGACTGTATATGCTTCCACGTGCTGAAATGCACACATTTCTTCTCCTTGTTGAATTTTGTTACTGTTTTTCTCCGAAGAACAGTAAATTCCAAGATAGTCAGGGATTATGTAAGAGTAAGCATCACGTGTAAGCACATCTGGCACCACTTTTCATCTGGCTGAGACAAATAATATTTTACCTCGGAACTGGACACACCAGTTGTGGTCACTTCTTTTGTTTTATCTACTTGCTGAACAAGGAGGTCACAGTAGAGTCTTAGTTCTGACATTTTCGTTTTCAAGTTTTCAGTGTTTTCAGCAAACTCTAAATAACAAAATGATGATATGTAATTATTAGAATGAACAAACGACTTACTAGGTAGTATACGATACAGAGAGTGGAATATATAACCTGTGCCTAAAGTCAGATGTTTATAGTATGGGTTACAGATATGAACAGGTAAAGATGAGGGAGCAAGAAAAACAGAAAAAGGAGATTTCCAATCTTTTGAAGTAATCTACATTATTTCTTGAGCCAACATATTGAATGATCACCCGTATGGGAAGGAGACAGCATACTTCTGATCCACTTGTGTCAGAACTGGGAGCAGAACCAAGGGTTCTGAGTTTTGGTCTCAGTTTTGCCACAGTGTTCCCTATCTGTAAAGTGAAGCCACAGCTATCTACCTGCTAAAATAGCTCAACACTGGGAAACCTTGTTCTGTAACGTGCAATTACCACTAATAAGACGGCTCCTTAATTCAGAGGACTGGCCCAGCATGCTGCCTGTCAAGGCTAATGGCACCCTCTGGGCACCTGCTGCTCCCTTATGAGCATGGCACTCCAGCCACCCTGGCGCTGAGGGCTCAGCTACAATCACTACCGCCTGTTTTCTTCTCCATGAAAAAGCCGCATGTTACCTCCTGATCTGAGCCAAAGCTGACAATGTCTGGAATTTGGTCCTGATTTAGCATTTAAAAAACCAACAAAGAGGCCAATTTTTCTGTTAAGCACATCTGTCATGAGAAAGGAACCCGAAAACACTTTTTCCCTGAGGCCCCTCTCTCCCACCAACCTCTTCAGCTGTAGAGGCTGAAGAATACTGGGTTAAGCAGGTGGGGAGGCGGCGACTAGGGCTGAGGCAGTAAGCCCTGGCATTCTTGATCCAGTCCAACAGAAAATTGTGTCATGATTCTCAGGAGACCTAATGATACCCAGTTAACGAGCATTAAGCAGTAGCAATGTGACAATTAAGTAGCCATCCCACTCGAGGGAAAGGGAGGCGAAAGCAAAGTGTTACTGCAGAGAACACCTGACCCAAAGCTTCTCTGGCTCAGCTACTCTTCACCAAAGGCCAACTTTGTGCCAGCCTGGGTCCTAGACAGCTTCATGTCATCACTAAGGCTCAGGGTAATCCTTCTAAGGTAGGTCGGTTATTACCTCTTTTTAAAATATGAGGAAACTGAGGATTAGAGAGGTTAGGTGACCTATGCCAAGGCCACAAAGCCAGTAACCCGCAAAGCCATAGTTGGACCCCAGTTGTATCTGGCTCCAAAGCCTGCAATCTTTCTACTACGACATGCTAAGAAAGAAGAGTTAGACACAGACTGTGCTTTAAATTCCTGAGATATATAGCATTTGAAGGGTACAAAAAGCTAGCTAGGTGGTCAGAGGCAAGATAACAAATATGGGAACCCAGAGATGCCAGCAGATGATTCCCAAGGTTCCCAGACCAGAGGACAATCAATACTTGCCTTTTTCCTTCTGGGTCCTACTGTCTGTGAGGCAAGCCTTGGCTGACCCCAGGGCTACCAGCCACCGCTGTCTCTCAGCCACACTTCTGGCCTTCAGGTAGAAATACTGTTCCCCAGGGATTATCAGGTCCATGCGTGTGTTATCTACAGAATGAACTGCGAGCAAGGCAGAGGGAGGTCAGAAACCTAGAAGACCCCTATCTAGGTAGCCTCTACCCCACCCAAATTCTTGAGCTCAACTGGTGCCAGTCACTGAAGGCTTCTGCCAAGAGAGGATGCCAACTCTTACTACCTCTCCTAGTTTATTTATCTCTTCCTAGACACCTCTGCTGATGAAGAGGGAAAACCCTGAAATTGACTACAAGGTATCACCAAGACTTTGGCCTTAAAAAAGGCTTGCCCAATTCTCCTCAGGATCTTTTATCAGAATAGAGAAGGAATCTCTCTTTTGGCTTGTGTGTGTAAAGTACGCTGCTCTGAGGCCAAAAAGGCTTGCATGCCAACAAGTAAGGGTATGTTCTTTATCTTCTTGGGTTTACTGAAAAGCAATCAAGAATATAGTATTTTTCCTTTTCTACTTTCCTTTATAAATCAAATCAAAAGTGTGAGAACTCTCTCAGAGCCTTTCAGGAGAATAAACAAACAAACCACATTCTCCTTCACCCTCCAGGCGCCAAATTCCCTTCTAATCTGTTCCTGAGCTACATCTTTTCCGCATGTCTCAAGATTCCCAAAACCAAGAAGTAAAGGCTATTTGTAGGTCTGTTAGGTGTTTGCTTGTTTTGTTTTGAGTATGTGGTGGTGGTGAGAAGGTGTGTCTGTCCTGATTTAGACATAAAAGTGTTTGATGCTGCAGTAAAAAGACTTAGTAAGATTTACAAAGAGCCACTGGCCCCAGGTGAGCAGGTGACCAAGAAATAAGCACTGGATGTGTGGTTAAGCACAGGGCTCTCATTTATTCTGACTACCTCTTAATCGACTTCCTTGTAAAAACTGGCTGCAGTTTTAGGTCTTATTTGCAAGGCTTTCTTTTGGATCATAACATTATGTATCTCTGTGTATGGACACAGGGGAGAAAGGAACACAGAGGTCAGTACCTTTTCATATGGGGGGTAGGAGGGGAGGGAGACAGAAAGAAAAACAAAACTTGCAAGTCTCTTGGTTTCTCACCTTGAATTTCACAGACCGCCATTTGGATACTCCCTTTGCAACCTTTCCAGGCATCTTCAGGAGAATCATAATAGGATAATATCCCTCCACAGAGAAGGAACCATCGAGGCTGCCAACCTGAAAACAGAAGCAAGAGCATGGTCTCAATTACTGCCTGCGTGAACAGAGGAATAGGACCTAACAAGGATGCTGGGTCCCAGCTCCAAGGAGCTTACATTCCAGGGGAAATTCTAAGGGCAAGAAGTAGGTTAGAAAAGGCCTCTATGTTTGATTTTCATAAAATTAAAAACACCCATCCACAGAGGCATATATTTTTACTCACAAAATGTATAGAAGTCTGGAATGATCAGCAACAAACACAGTGATGATTCTCTAGGTAACGGAATTACTGATGATTTTTATTCCCTTTTTTTTCCTAATATAGTACAATAATCTGTGGTTTTTAATTTTTATAAGATAAAAGATTATTGTTTCCTGAACATTATTGTTATCATGCACTTGCTCTCTTCCTCTCTGGTTAGGAAAAAATATCCCAGACTTAGAAATGAGGCAAAATATTATATTGCCCTTCCAACATCATATAGAGTGATGCGTAATAAGCCCACCTAGGGTCATGTGACCCCTAGGAAAAGGTACCTGTGACTTACTATTTAGTATTGATCCACTAAAATGGAATAATCTTAAAACATTCAAGGGCTTAACTACTTTTACTTTGGAGAATTTCAGGGGACAAACAACATAAAAAATATACATCATATCAAGTCCTCTTACACCATCTATATTCTAGTCAAACCAAATTTACTTGCTGTATTCCTGCTTCCAGGCTTTTGTTCAAGCTGCTCTTCTTCCCAAAATGTCATCCCCGACTATCTCTGCAATAAGCCTCACCAGTCTCTATTCAAGATTATATTGCAGGTTCTAGCCAGGGCAATTAGGGTACAAAATGCAATAAAAGGCACCCACATTAGAAAGGAAGAAGCAAATCTACCTCTATTAGCAGACAGGCTCTTGTATATTTTTAAAAAAAACAAAACGCTAAGGAACTCACTAAAAAAACTATTAGAAAAATGAGTTCAGCAAGGTTGTAAGACATAAGACCAACATACAAATATTGATTGTTTCATTTCTATACAGATGCAATGAACAATCTGAAAGTGAAATAAAACAACTCCATTTACAACATCAAAAAGAATAAAATACTCAGAAATAAAATTAACAAAAGAAGCATAAAACTTTTATACTCTGAAAACTACAAAGTATTGTTCAAAGAAATTAAAGATTTGAAGATCATTATTCCAAAACTGTTACCAGCTTGTTCTTTTCTCACATTGTACAAATGTCTCTTTACTTAATTGACAGCAATTGTTTGCAAAACTCACTTTTTTCAGTTCAACTAATGTTGAATAGATATTTTTTCAATGAGCATAATTTTCTTCAAAAAATGCGCTTATATTTAGATCTAAAATGGCATAGCTCATGTTAATTTTGTACTATATTTTCTTTTTATCTCACAACAGCCACTATTTTTAAATCAAAATTTCTAAATGGAGATGTTCTTATTCTTTTAAAGATGCAAACTAAAAAAGTGATTACATGTGAGTCATACTCATGTCTGACGAAAAAATACTGTAGTTTCCCTTCCTTTTTACTCAGCAGCCTTGTGACAAGTAGCTCACCCAAACACATCACTAAAAACAAAACAAAAGAGCCCTGTATTCCATTAAAAAGATACTTAAAATTTTTTTTAATGTTTACTTTCCAATTTACAGACAGTGAAATTTCTTCTTTGGTTAACAGTTCTGAGTTTTGATAAATGCATAGTCCTGTAATAATCACCATAATAATCAAGACAATAAAATTCCATTATCCTCCCCCCAAAATTCTCTTGCGCTATCCCCTTTGCAGTCAAGCCCTCCCCCCACACTTTACCACTGGCCAACCACTGTTGTGTTTTGATTTTAAGTAGACAATATTTTCTTTTTCTTGGAGACTTGCTCTTTCACCCATGGGTTACTTAGAAGTGTACTGTTCAACTTCCTAATGTTTGGGGATTTCCCACATTTCTGTCACTGATTTCTAGTTTACTTCTGTTAAAGACACAGAACATTCGTTTACATTTGGCAGCGTTTCTACTATAGCCCAGAATATGGTCAATCTTAGTGAATGTTCCATGTGCCTTTGAAAAAAATGCAGTATTCTGCTATTGTTTGGGGGATTATTCTATAAATGTCAATTAGGTCAAGCTGGTTGACAGTGTTCAGATCTTCTGTTTCTTTGGATGATTTATGCCTATCTATTGTATAGATTATTGAAAGAAGAATGTTGATGTTTTCAAGTGTAATTGTGGATCTATGTTTCCTTTCAGTTCTACCAGTTTTTGCTCCATATATTTTGACGTTCTGTTTTTAGATGTATACACATTTAGGATTCCAATGTCTTTTTGATGGAATGATCCTTTTATAATTATGCAATGTTTTCCTTATCTCTTGCAATTTTCCCTGCTCTGAAGTCTACTTTGTCTAATATTAATATAGCCAATTCAGCTTTCTTTTGATTAGTGTTTGCATGGTACACCTTTTCCTATCCTTTTAATTTTTTTTTGCTTTTTAAAAAGGCTTTAATTTTTTATAGCAGTTTTAGGTTTAAAATAAAATTGAGAGGGAGGTACAGAGATTCCTCACATGGCCCCTGCCCCTACACTTGCACAGCTTTCCCCATTATCAACATCACTGACCAGAGGGTATATATTTTTACCATTTACACTGACACATCACAATCACCCAAAGTCCACAGTTTACCTTAGTGCTCACTCTTGGTGTTGTACATTCTGTGGGTTTGGACAAATGTATAATGATATATATCCATCATTATTCATCTTCCACCATAACCTCTGACCCCCAGCAACCACTGATCTTTTTATTGTCTCCTAATTGCCTTTTCCAGAATGTCATATAGTTGGAACCAAACAGGATGCCTTTGCAGATTGGCTTCTTTCACTTACTAACATGCACTTAAGTTTCCTCCATGTCTTTTCAGGGCTCGACAGCTCATTTCTTTTAAGCACTGAGTAAGATTCCATTGTCTGGATGTACCACAGTTTATTTATCCATTCACCTACTGAAGGACATCTTGGTTGCTTCCAAGTTTTGGCAATTGTGAATAAAGCTTCTATAAAGATCTTTGTATAGGTTTATTTTTTAATCAAGTCCTTCATTTTCTTACTGTTGAGTTTTAAGTTTTCTGTATATTTTGAATAACAGTCCTTTATATGTCTTTTACAAATATTTTCTCTCAGTCTGAGATTTGTCTTCTAATTCTCTCAATACTGTCTTTCACAGAGCAGTGTTTTTAATTTAATGAAGTCCAGCTTATCAATTATTTCTTTCATGGATTGTGTCTTTGGGACTGTACCTAAAAAGGCATCAAAATACCCAAGGTCATCTAGGTCTTCTCCCATGTTATCTTCTAGGAGTTTTATAGTTTTTTGCGTTTTACATTTAGGGCTATGATCTATTCTGAGTTAATTTTGGTGAAAGGTGTAAGGTCTGTATCTGGATTCACTTTTTCACATGTGGATGTCGAGTTGTTCCAGTACCATTTGTTGAAGACACTATCTTTGCTCCATTGTATTGCCTTTGCTCCTTTGTCAAAGAGTTGATTGTATTTACGTGGGTCTAACTCTAGGCTCTCTATTCTATTCCACTGATCTGTCTATTCTTTCACCAATACCATGCAACATTGATTATTGTAACTTTACAGTAAGTTGTATAGTGTCAATCATTAAACTTTGTTCTTCTCCTTCAATATTGTGTTGGCTATTCTGAGTCTTTTGCCTCTCCAAATAAACTTTAGAATCAGTTTGTCGATATTCATAAAATAACTTACTGGGAGGCCAGCCCTGTAGCATAGTGGTTAAGCAGCGCGCTCTGCTTCAGTGGCCCGGTTCACAGGTTCAGATCCTGGGCACAGACCTACACCACTCATCAGCCACGCTGTGGTGGCAACTCACATATACAGTGGAGAAAGACTGGCACAGACATTAGCTCTAGGCTAATATTTCTCAGTAAAAAAAAAAAAAAACTGAGATTTTTTACTACGATTGCATTGAATTTACACATCAACTTAGGAAGAACTGATATCTTGACAATATTGAGTCTTTCTATTCACAAACATGAAATGTCTCTCTATTTATTTAGCTCTTCTTTGATTTCATTCACCAGTTTTGTAGTTTTCCTCATACAGATCTTGTACATATTTTGCTAGATTTATACTTAAGTATTTCATTTTTGGGGGGTCCTAATGTAAATGGTATTGTTTTAAATTTCAAATTCCACTTGTTCATTGCCAGTATATAGGAAAGTAATTGACTTTTGCACATTAACTTTGTATTCTACAACCTTGCTATAATTGCTTACAGCCAGTTTTTTGTCAGTTCTTTTGGATTTCCTACATAGGCGATCAATTCCTCTGTGAACAAAGACTGTTTTATGTATCACTTCCCAATCTTGTACTTTTAAAAAAAATTTTATTTCCTTTTCTTGCATTAGTGGATTAGCAAAAACTTCTAGTACGATGTTAAAAAGAAGTGGCTAGCGGAGACATCTTTGCTTTGTACCTGATCTTTGTGGGAGAGCTTCCAATTTCTCACCATTAAGTATGATGTCAGCTGTAGGCTTTTTGCAGACAGTCTTCATCAAGTTGAGAAAGTTCTCCCGCATTCCTAGTTTGTTGAATTTTTATCATGAATGAGTGAATTGTCAAATGCTTTTTCTGTATCTATTTATACGATCATGTGGCTTTCCTTTTTTATAGTCTGTTAATGCGATGGATTATATTAACTGATTTTCTAATGTTGAACCAACCTTGCATATCTGGGACAAATTCTAATTGGTTATGGTGTACAATTCTTTTTATACATTTTTGGATTTGATCTGTTGATATTTTATTGAGAATTTTTACATCTATGTTTATATATCTTGTTATTTTTAACCTCTCCATATCTCTGTGTTTAAAGCAGGGTTTTCATAGACAGCACATAGTTTGGGCTGGTTTTTTTTTAAATCATATCTGACAATCTAGTGTCTTTTCATTCATCTGTTTAGACCACTTACATTTAA